ATAACCAAGAAGGCCCAGACAAATGCCTCTTTTCCAGTGTGTGCCGTGAACACTTCGGCCTCTGTGTGACCCTGCAGGACGGTCTCAGTGGAGCCCGCCCGCCCACGTGAGTGACGCAGCGAGCACTCCCCGCGAGAGCCGCAGCTGGCCTGCCTGTGCCCCGGACCCCAGGAGCTTTGCTCAGCACCCGGCTCGGTAATTTCACGCAAAGCTTTTTAGATAAACATGTAAAATGGCTTATTAGTTTTTGAAAATATTTACACTTTATAAGAGAACTCAGGATCTTAAGTAATACAGTATTTTAACATGTAAGAAACATTATTTTCTTTATTTTGAGTCTATTAGCATGTTCCTGTGCTTAGATTTAAAAAGAGAAAAAAACAAAACAAAACACTTCATTTACTCACTTGAAAGTATCTAATGTTGTTTCCTACGAGCTACTCAAGGAACCAGAACAAAATGGCAAGCAGGCCTGGTTTCTGCCCTCAAGGGTAATGTTCATTTTGTATCAGGCAAGATTGATAGCAGTCAAATAAAAGTACAATGAAACATAGAGTGAGGGTAACTTCCAGGAAAAAAGAAAAATCTTTCCAGAAGGAGAGAATGACTGTTTTGAAAGTTCTTAAGTGGAAAGATACATTATTTCTTTGAAGAACCAGACAAAAGGAGAGTGGCAACAGAAGAGACTGAAGAGGAAGAGAGGGAGCCAGATCAAGCCAGGCCTTTGGAGTCACAGCGAGGGCGGGCTGTCTCTCCTGCTCAGACAGTGAGAAGCCATTTTAGTGTTTTAGTTCACAGAGTTACAGAATTAAGTTTCTGTTTTAAAAGGTTCAGTTGTCACTGTAACTTAGTGATTCTTAAGTCTGGCTCCTGTTAGAATCATTGAGGCAGTGGGATCTCAAAACAGAATGCTGTGATCTGGTTCCTTGTCCAGTCCAACAGAATCAGTCTCTGGGGTTGGCCCCTGGCTCCGATCATCTTTCGAGCTCTATCCAGTATCATAAAGCGAGGCCTGAGAATCGCAGGTGTGAGCTATGTAGGAGATGCACGTGCGATACAGGCACTGAAACTGGCTTCTCAGTAGGACTCAAGGTCACTTCCCCCAAACCTAATATTATCAAGAACCACATTAATAGAAGTATATGTCCTAAATGAGAGAGGGAGTTGTTCCTCAGCCCTCTGAATTAGACACAGCAGACCCGAAGAGTTTGTTCACCTCTCAGCACCAAATTTTATGAGGAAGTTAGTCAAGCTGAAATATCCCTAGAAGAAAGCAAACTGGATGCTAAAAGGAATCTAAACTGTAATGAGAAGAAATGACCCAATAGTACCAGATATATTTAAACTGTAAGTCAAAATAATTTTTTTCAGGATGGGTTAGACCCCCTGTTTTTAAGGAAGTCGAAGGATGTTATTTATTCAAATGTTAAATATGAGGGCCAGTTGCATACCCATCCCAGACAGTGGGAATATGGCAGGAGGTGATATAGACAAAAATCCTTGTCCTCACAGAGCTTTTGTTCTAGTTCAGAATGACATTTTCTCTCTCACATTTTCTCATTCCTTGAGGTCAGAAGTTTTAACTGAACTTTATGATTAGCAGCTCTAGAATATGTATTAATAGGGAGATACAGTTCAGTGATTAATTTTAGAACATTAATAGTAGAAATATCTGAAAAGCAAAGTTAACATCTATGGAAAAATCCCAGTAAGAATGGTTATCATAGAGGGTATTCAGAATCCAATAGCAAGAATGAGAAGGTGCAACAGGAAGGAGATGGATGAGTGATCTAGCCCACTGGCCTTTAGAGTCCTTTACGAAAATGAATACCAAATATTATAGTATTAAATAATAGAAACACTTCCATAGTTTGATCATTTGCTATGTGCCACACACTTTGCTAAGTGCTTTATTATGCATTATCTCATGTAAGGCTTGTAACATGCATCGTACTGATGTGGAGAATGAAATAGTGTCCAGCAATAATTTAAAAAAATTAAAAACATTGCTCCTACAAATACGAAGTGAAAATATGTCAAAGATTTGATTTGACACATTAATTGATGAGGGAATCGGTATGATGGTAAGACTGGTCTTAGTATCATTTGAGGAGCTTCTTATTTTAGGTGCATAAAAAAATGAATGTTAGAACAGGTTGCTAGATTAGATGCAAAACTGGTTAATGTTTTATAGTGCAGTACAGCATCACATGTGGCATTATTTTTTTTCTACTGGAGAGAATTAATTTATATCTTCGACAAAAGTCTCCAAGGTGTAACATGTAACTACTAAATTTGGGGGTTTTATTCAGAGGTAAACAGTGAATGTAACAAAGCACATTTCCCCTAAGTAATTCTTGAGATGGACTGTGAAACCGTTGCCCAGTGTGCCTGGAACAAACATGAGATAACCTTTTTGTATCATTTTCAAGTTTTGGGTAATTTTTCTTAACATTAGAAGAGTTAAGTAAATTTTCAGGATTTTCCAGCTCGTGGTATTAAAGCTGGGCCTCAAGCTGGGCCTCAAGCTGGGCGTCTGACACCCGCACTGATGAGTAGTGTAGTGTCTGGGGAGATACTGGGCCAGCATCTGTTGGATCACATCACCCTTGGTCGGCCCTTGTGTGAGTCCGAGCTGGGTTTTCCCAGTTCAATGTGTGTTGGCTTGTTTTAATTGATTACAGAGACATTTGTGAACCATTCAAAGCCAACTATTCTTCCTCTTTTGTTTCCCCAAAAGTAACTGGGCACACCAAACGTGATTAGTAAGGAGTGAGTGGTTCTTTAGCCACTTGCTAGTTAAGACAAAGGCTCTGGAACCTTTGATGGAAATGCAGTTCGTTAGAATTGGTAGCAGCTATCTCCTCGGTAAGATTCCTTTCTCAACTTATGGGATGTTACGCTGCTGCTGTTAATTTAGGACGTTTCAATTACCAAATGTGGGAATTGCAATTGTTACTGGCCTCCAGTTTTTACAATGGTCCCGCTGAGCTCCTAAGGTTTGGAGGGAGAGTCCATCTCTCTGCAGGTGGCACCTTGTTCAGGCTCCTGCCCCTGACTGCAGGTTTTTCCTCCCCCGTGAGTTAGTCTAGAGGGGAGACGTCAGTGCCATGATTAGGGAATTCATGAAAAGTGTAGCTGTGTGGTTGGCTCAGTGTTCGCGGAGGCACCGGGACACTGGCCTGTGTGTAAGGCGATAAGCCTGTTATGTTAAGGTGGCAGAAAACCAGCCTGCCACGTAGTTTATTCTAGGAGCTCAAACTAGGTGTAAGAGGACAGCTTTTAAGTAAGAGAAAGGGTCTGGTTTTGGCTCCATTAAAAGGACACTCAACTGAAATTTATTGATAGGCACTGTAATAAACACTTTATTTGGATTCTCTCTCCATATCCTTAACAATTCCATGAGTTAGAGCCTATTATTGTCCCCATTTTGCAGAAGAGGATACTAAGTCCAGAAGGTTAAACAAGCCAACTGGGATTCACAGACAAAGCTAAGACTAAACCCAGGCCAACTAATTACAAGCCTGCTCCGGGGAAGGCGCCATGCCTCCTCTCGCAGATGCGTCTGGGATAATGAAAGCACATAGAGAATTAGCCCAAACCCCAAGTGTCAGCCTCAGCTCTGGCAGTGACTGCGGCAGCGCTGGACGCGGCCTCGACTCTGTCAGGGCCCCCATTTCCCTCCATAACACGAGGGGCGGAAACAATTTGGATCAGATGGTCTCTGGGGTTCCTTCCAACTCCAAAGTTCTCTGAGTCTGTAATTGCATCCTGACCTTAGAGGTGCACATGGCCCCCTTCCCACACGCACACACACAGTCTGCTTCCCGAGGCAAAAAGATCTAATGCTGCTGCAGGCGCCCATTGCGGTTGGGTTCTAAACCCCAGCCCCCACCCAGCCCTGTTAACTACAACAGCCCCCTCAGGGACACACAGCACTTTTACAATCTGGTGAGCCAGTTCTTTAAAGTAAGTTGCTAATGGGGTATAATTTTAGGAAGTAAAATATTAATACCGAAAGAAAAAACTCAAAACACTTCTGAGTCTCTCTCTCTTTAAATCATGTCTTTTCCACAGTGTTACCTTGACAACTTAGCTTTGGCTCTTGAGGTGCTGGGTTTCAGTGTGGGAAAAGGAGGAGAGGGGTGTCCTCTTCATAGCTTGAGAGATTTCCTCTTGTTTCTTGGACAAGAGAGATGTCAGTGGTGGACCACACAATCCCGCAGAATGTACACAGGACATCTTGATGGAGGGCCATCCAAAAATAATCACAGGTGCACGGAATGAGGACGCATTCTGATAAAAGGTACATTCTTCTCTCCTTTCTGTTTCCTATAATCATAACACACATTGCCACAGCCTGTAAAACGCTCCATGGTTGGACCAGCACAGTTTTAGAGCAGAGAGCAACAAAAGTCCCTAAAAAATAATTGCATCATTTTTAGTTGCCACGGTCATAGATGCACACATCAGGACAAAGGCACAACTCTGAAGTGCTAAACCAGTCTGGAAATGCTAAAAACATTGTTCCCCCTCCAGCAACTGGAATTTTGAGTGAAGACTGAGGCAACGCAGGTAGGGAGATCAAATTAGAATTCACTTCTCTCAGCTGTAATAGGCTTGTTATCAGGGCCGGAGCGAGCTCAGGGGGGCTCACAAGGGTCAGCCAGGAATGTGAGTAGAAGGAGCAAGTTAAAAAGGGGCAAGGCTGAGCAGAAGAAAGGAGAAGGCTTATCTCCAGCATCTAGCACCATCGCGCAGAGCCTGTGTGGAGAATGGCTGCGAAATCCGAATTGGTTCTAGAGGCACTTTCCTTTGTGGTTGTGAATGTGAGCCCAGCCGACGCCATGGGCGCTGTGGCAGGGGAGCGAGTCCGCGCTTGACACATGTGTTTCCCATTGATAGCTGGAGACAGCCCAGTAGCTCCGAGTTGGCCTGACAAAGCCGTATTGAAGTACAGACAGAGTACGGTTTCAAAGCAGTCAGAAAAAGAACGGGAATGCTGTTCAGGAAATTCTTCAGGCATGGGCAGGGACTTGGCTGCAGTTCCACAGTTGGAAAATCTGACTGGGGCAGCTTCTGAACACAGGCTGGGCCTGCTCACACTCGGCCCTGCGGCCGCCTCCTTCCCAGCCTCCCGGCACCCTCCCGGCCGAGGGCGCGTCTCCTCAGCTGCTCTGGGAGGCAGACGAGAGAGGTAGGGGACTGTGGCGTTCTTCCGTTTCCACGCTTCTCTTTGCTTTCTAAGCCTGCTGTTTGCTTGCACGAACTCTGAGGTTTCAGGGGGGGTGGGGGGTGGTTTGGGTGGGGGTGTGTGTGTGTGTAAGTTAGAACTCTATCACTTAAACATTTGGTGTGGACTTGTAATCTTTTCTCTCTCCCACTCCCTTCAAGATCTGACTCTCAGCAGGACAGAGATACTTTTGAAAGCTCGGATTTAGCCGGCAACACAATGTGAAAAAAGAAAAGTATGTGAATTCATGTGTTGTCACCCGGCTCCAACCTTCTGGAACTTTTCTGTGAGGAAGGAAGAATTCATTGGCGAGAAAGATAATTTTAAATGAAACTGTCTGTGTTATTTGCTTCAGGAGAGTTTTGAGAGGAGTGTCTGTAGCAGAAAATGGCTCTCATTTCAGGAGGAAATTAGGGTTTGAAGTTTCAAGTCTGGATTACACTTTCCACATGTAGGAGCAGATATGTATATATCAGTTCCTGGCATCTTTTATTATTATAAAATGAGATTATGACGGTCCTTAAAGGAGCCCAGTGATCTATTTGCTTAGATCTATATGCTGGATCAACATTTCTAATTCTCCTTCTATAATAATCAAAAATTCTTCTGAGTTGAAATAACTGGCAGTTATACTCTCAAAAATATATTTTATGAAATATAGATCACTAAAGAGTAACAGAAAACAGTTATTTACTCAAAATCATTGTTAAAAGAAGAGAAATAATGGGGTAGATTTTATTTTATTGATGAATTGGTTTTATTTTACACGTTACCGAAGAGTGCGTTTTTTCAAAGAGCAAATTTTAAATAATCTGTCTCACACGTATCAGCTGTAATGCAATATAGACTTTCTCATCACATAGGAAAGGTATACCTTATTTTCTGCTTAGCAATTATAAAATATACAAAACATTGTGATTGCATTTAAGAAACTGGTTCAGCTCAGAAAGGGGTGAACTAAATGTCACTACAACTTTGTGATTCCTGGCAAAGCAACCGGTGACAGCAATGGTGTTTTTCCAAAGAGGTTTTGGCCAGGAGTCTGGTTGGGAAAACGGATGAATGAATAGATTCTTGGATACTCCTTGAAGAACAGCAGAGTAGTAGCTAGACCTCTTAGGGTAGAGGTCATAAAAACAGGTGTGTGTTTACTTCAGTTTTAAAACCTCTCACCGCGTAGCTAATAGTAGAGAGTAAGATTAATGGATAAATGAAGCGTGGAGGGCTGTCATTTTTCCCGTCTTCCTCTGTGTACAGCCTAGGATGAGTGGGCGGACACCGTGTCCTATTGGTGGAATTTGGTTTCCAGCCAGCAGTTTTATTTTCTCCACAGTTTTGCACTTGGAGGAGGGAATGGGGCGACAGGATTTCTTATTCTTCGTCAACCTCACCTTTGTGTTGGGTCGGGATGGGGAGGGCTTGCCAACTGTGGGACACCGAACAAGAAGGGGATGCAGTTGGAAGTCACCATAGATGGTGACTACACTGTGTTTTTCTTAAGTGCCTACTGAGTGAGCAAAATGCCAAGACCGATTAGGAACCGACGCGAACCATAGCCAAGCCCACTGCCGGTGAAAAAGGAGCCTCAAGTGAGCTCTAATGTCATCCTCTTCTAAATTTAGTCTGCGTCAAGCATGGAGCAGAACAGGCGTGAAGCAGCAACTCCAGGTTGCAGGATTGCAAGCGGCAGTGCCTAAACCTTGGAAGAAACTCTATAGTTTCCCTCCACTAGAAGAATGGGAGGGGGGGGAAATCAAGTTCCCTTGGAAAGAAATAAACAGAGCAGAGGGTAGAGAAGAAATCCAGGGCAGAGGTGCAGGCAGCAGAGCGAGAGGAGTGACCCCAGCAGAGCCTGGGCCGCACGGGCAGAGGGAGGAGGTCTGTGCGCAGAGACCAAGCATGTTCTAGAAACAGCAAAAAGCAGCAGGCACTGATTGCTTGACTTGAAGTGTGTGGATCAGCCACAGCCCCAGTAGGGAAAATTGTTTTACCCTCTTCACAATAGGAGACCCCGTGGTCAGTCTGCCCTGCCGGGCCTTCTGGAAGCAATCAGAAAGCACATTTTGTAAGACTGGCATCGTCCAAGGGTTCAGATTTCCTAAGCAAGGAGGGGCCAGGCTCCTAAGGCCGCGTTTTTAACCCCTGTTTGTTCCGTCAGTGAGACTCCTGCTGGGGTGTTGAGGGAAGGGACCAGCTGGGGTTGGGCGAACGATGGCTGTGATCAAAGCTCACGCAAGGTGCTGCTCGTCGGCGTCAGCGTCAACACTAAAGCTTCTTAGATAGAGAATGTTGTATACACCTTATTTTAATGCATTTCTTTAATTTTTAATTTCATTTTAAAAAACACCTCAGAGGGCCTGTACAACATTGTTGGTGCGAGTGTATAATATTTGCTTCATGATGTAAGATGTTCCTGCAGTCATGGATCTCTCACTGCCTGTAAGGGATCTGGCTTTTCTGTAGCTCAGACTTTCTTGAGTTTGAGTAACATAGTGGCCTCTTTTAACAGGACTGGAAAAAAGATCTGTTCCTCCATTGTTGTCTTAATTATTTTCATTATACTGTTATTTAAATATATACAAACCCAAAATATCCACCTGGACATTATCTCTAGAAAGAGAAATATGTAGCTATTTTAATCATTGCTTAACAGATATCATAGTAAAACAAATTTATGAATGAAATACAAAGAAAGGGATATAATATTTAGATTATCAAAATTGATGTCTTTTGTAGAGAATTTTACTGAAATTTAATAAGGCTTACATCATGAACAGGAGACTGATGGTTGTCTAGAAATTATTTTGATTTCAGTGCATTCAGACTCCTGCATTCTGGACAGATCCTTTATTCTTTCACAACTTTTTCTCTTCAAATCTCCTTTCACTTGTGAGCCATGATGGCCTCTGACCTCTACATACAGGGAATGTGCCATTTTGTGTGATATCAGACTCTGTGCCTTTCTCATTATTCATGACAAGAATGGAATCCGTTGTTGCCAACATGATCATACAATGAATACAAACTTGGACACCGAAAGTGTGCCGTAGTAGCTGTTGGCCATGAATCAGATCAACATGTTCTAGATCAGAATGTGCATAAATAAAATAAGCAAAGAAAAAGCAAAGAAAAACAAACACAAGAACAGATTTTGTTGAGAACTCTCAGATTCCTGAGAAGATCTGAGGTTCCCTGGTAACTGGAGGTCTCGACCTCATAAGATGCTGATGATGGCTGGTTGGTTCCATGGATGAAGCCCCACAGGAATGTGGGGAGAAACAGCCCCAGGAACACCCCATCTATGTTTGTAATGTAGCCCAGCCACTTTATTTGTTTCCTACTTTATGGTTTTGCAAGAAACTTCATTTGAAAGTTTCAGTGCTGTGTGAGGGAGGTTTACATTGAACTGCAAGCAAGAGAAAGCTTGCTCTCTGGCGTCTGTGTGTTTAAGGGCTTACTTTGTGCACATAGAGATGTGGGCTGCTCCTAGGCACTCCAGAGCAGGAGCCAGAGTTAAGCGGTGTCTCCCAGGACCAGAACTTTCTTTCTGCTCCACCGTCCTCAGCACTTGAGCTCTACTCTTCACGCTCATCTCTGTGTGCCACATTTAAGTCAGGACAATGGTGACAGGACATGAAGGTAATAAATATTTCCCCTCATGAGCTTTTGCCTGTTTAATCACAGAAGGATCTCCTCCCCAACCCCATGTAGAATTTCCCCAGTGTCTCAGAATGTGTAGCCCGAACTGGTCGTAGGCCTGCTGGCCCCTTGGAATGATGTTACCAAGATAGGATCGAGGACGTTTCATCCTCTAGGTGTGACTGGGAGCCTACACTTTGAGATCAAGGGCTTTCAGTCTGATAGCATATCAGTGTGCAGTCAACAGTAAACAGCGAGGAGGATGTCTGTCCATAGGCAGGGATAATTTTGGCCACAAATGCTTAATTTAAAAAAAGAAAGAATGAATAAACAAATACATTTTCTCCTTTATTTTTTTCAGCTGTATTAGGTATAATTTGACATATTGGGGAATTCGCCCCGTAAGAGTACAGTGCTTTTTAGTTCATTTAGACAGTTGTGCAATAGGCAGTTTTGGAACACTTCCACCAGCTCAACAACCTTCGTTGTGCCCGTTGAGTCAGCTCTTGTTCACACTCCCAGCCCCAGGTAACCACTGGTCTACTTTCTGTCTCCATTGTTCTTCCTGTTCCCAAGATTGTATCAGTGAGACATTATATGGACCAGAATGTGGTTTATCATTGTGAGGGTTCTGAGTACTCTGAAAAACAATGTGTTTCTTCCATTTTCAAGAAGTGGACACTGGCCCTAACTGGTAGGGCTCAGTGGATTCACCGTTGTCCTGCAAACTGTCAGAGCACAGGCCTGGGTTGTGGGCCAGGTCCCTGGTTGGGGTCATGAGAAAGGCAACCGATCAGTGTTTCTCCAGCAAATTGATGTTTTCTCCCTCTCCTTCTCCCTTCCTTTCTCTCTAAAAATAAGTAAACAAAATCTTTGTTTAAATTTTTTTTTAAAAGGAATGGACACAGAGACCAGAAAGGATGAGTTACCTGCCTAAGAAACACAGGCAGTCTGAGACAGCAGTGCTTCTTGTCCCTTGACTCTGAGTCTGCTCTGGACTGCATGTTACAGGTGTTGGCACAACAGTGGCGAAAGCTGTGCTAGAGAAAATAACATGCTACTGGACTCTTACGGTTAGAAGGTCCCTCCAAAATTATCTGGTTCCAAGTTTTCTCAAAACCTCCTGAATCAGGAATTTCTGAGATCACAGTTGGGGAATCCCTATCGTTTTCAGACCTCCTGAGAGCTTCTTTTGAAGCCAAGCAGACACTGCTCCACCAAACTGAGTTTGTTTAACACTGTCCTGGCTAAATCGCTCTTCACTGCAGGGATGCCATTTATAGCATCGTTACCAGATGCCAACCAGATGCAATGACGGAGACCTT